CTCGGCCCCAAGTCAAAATTTGAGCATTTTAAAGTATGGCCTTTGTTATAACATTCCTGAAATGGCGGCGTACGAAGACTTTGTCTCCGATAAAATTCTTGAATTGGCGTCGTACAAAACTTTGTCTTTATTCTCCCAAGAGTATCATTGGACCCCACTTGTGGGAACGTTTCTCACTGAATTAATTGTTACTAGGCAACTTAGTACTGGCAGCTTGATACCTATAAAGCAATGTATTTCCATTTATGCCTAGATTAAACCCGTTATTTCCAAGTAGAATATTCTTCATTCGTTTACACCTAATTAATAATAACTCTGATGAAATCACTTTACTTTAGTTGTTATTAATTACCACTATTTGATATATAGGTCACTTACTGTATATCATCGTGTTTTTATATGAGGTAAATTAAATTATTTAAATATGGTAACCAACCAATCACTTTTTTCTGGAACGTATAATCATCTTGCAATAGGTACGCTTATTTTTGTCACACTCGAATTCTAGGCTTACAGTAGGGCCTAGTTAGAGGGTCAAGCTCGCTAGTCATAAAGTTTGTTATTCATATGGTTCATTATTCATAACCATAGGGTTTGCCCGAAGTGACTCAAATTTGTAATAGAGGGCTAGGCCTAGGGGGAGTGACTGTTCCGGATATGATAAAAAATGTTATCTACCCGGCCGACGGTTGAATAAGTACAAAACGTTTATCCACCCTTCAGCCGAGTGAATAATTTCTAAACAGTTGGCCACCCAGCAGACAAAGAGCCAACTGAGCATGGGTATCAAAATACAAAGTAGCGCCAGCACTGGCGTTGATTTACGTATGGTTTATGCGATGCCTTTGAAGTCCATGTGTTCCCCGACAAGCTGCTCAGCAGGGTTTTAGTATACAGAAAAAATTTTTATTATTATTATTATTATTAATATTATTATTATTATTATTATTATTATTAAAGAGTTCATTACAGTATCAAATGGTGTTATCTTTCTTTTTACAGAAACAACGCAAATGTTACAAGTCGATTGGTTTGGAGTTTCTTTTTATCGTTTCCATACGATATATATTTGGATCATTTTGTTTATAAATGCTTCAATAAAATCTAGATTTATAAAATAAGTAGGCTTATAGTTAATTTAGCGGATTAGTTTGTCATAAGTTTTTTGTTTGTTTGTTGTTGCGTCTCCATTTACATTACCAAATGTTCTATTTATAAAAATACATATAAAATAAATTAAAATATACTGAATGATGTGATAATGTAAATAAAGCAAATATATTATTATATTAGTTTGTCATAAGTTTTTTGTTTGTTTGTTGTTGCGTCTCCATTTACATTACCAAATGTTCTATTTATAAAAATACATATAAAATAAATTAAAATATACTGAATGATGTGATAATGTAAATAAAGCAAATATATTATTATATTCATAAGGGCGACAAAATCACTTATTGCATAGAAATTAACTAAAGAAATTATTAACTACAGTATAATTTGACGAAAGAAACGTTTTCAACAATTATGTTGAGGTGAAGCAGACACATGGTTTGTATCTTCTTGTTTGTTTTATTTCCATTGTCGATACACATTTTGATTAGGCCTATGTTTATAAAAATTTAAATACACAAATAAATGATAAATGGAAATACTGTAGTAAAACATAGGCCTAGTTTAAATAAAATGTATAGGCCTACAATGTTAATGGCTGTTTCAGGCTTCTTTTGATATTAAGTTTTGTAAGCCTAAAATTTCACTCACAAGGCCTATTATGGAAAATAACTATAAAAATGGGAAAGAAATGCCCACAAACAGGTTCCCACGGTACTCTCGAGGGTGAAGCAGACATCCTTTGTACGCCGCCTTCAGGAATGTGGGCGCACTACTGCAAAGTGTGAAGTAGGTCGGATGATAAAATTAGACTGGCTATTTTTAGGTGCAAACACATGCCATGGCAGTGAATGTGTACGCGTGTTTTCACACTTCTCTCTATGGTTCCGATTTTTTTTCAAATTATTCAACTTTGTTTGAGCTTTAATATTTCATTTACCGTATATAGACAGGGCCCCTGCCGGCAGGAGCAGATCCAGAGATGTCCGACACGGGAACCGAAAATGGGGCTGATCGCAATAACACCGCTCTAGGGGAGGTCCGCGAAATATTTGTTTTCTATAGACAAACGCTCGAATGTAACCTCTGAGCAGGCATATAACAGGGGTCTTGGGTCAGGGAGGGCAAAGGTAATAATTTTCCCGGTTAGTAATTTATGACCCGGTGTGATACCCCCACCACCCCCCACCCACCACAATATAGAAAACAATACGACATAGGGCTTATCTTATTTATAATATAGGCCACACACGTGTGTAAAATAAATATAAGCATTTTCATCATGGTTTTATTTATTACAAACATATTCCTTCACCAACAATACACATTAGGTCCTTCTTTTAAGTAAAACGTTCTATCTTAAATGTTCTTTCTATTGGATTGGGCCTATTATGTGTTCAATTAAGTTAGAAGGCAAAGGAGGACAAGCACACATTCTTACCCTCAAAAATGTGCGCGAAGCTCGCAATTTTTTTTTTTTTTTCTTTTGGGGGGGGGGTTTAGGGCTTATGTTATATATGGCCAAACACGTTTTTTTTAAACTGAATATATAAGCATTTTCATTATGGCTTTATTTATTACAAACATATTTTTTCATCATCATTACACATTGAGGCCCCTGTCTCTTATACACATCTAGATGTGTATAAGAGACAGTTTTTGAACAGTGTCAACAATGCCTATTTGAAAATGGGTGAAATTTTTAGATCACTTGGGCACTCTTTAGTGATCATTGACAATTTTGAAAGGGAGGGGGTGCGTATAAGCATTACAAATAATACAAAAATTAAGTGTTTGAAATAATTAGGCCTAATACAAAAATTAAGTGGGCTAGGGAGAAGGCTAGTAGTACATGTGCCCGGGCTTGTCAAAAAATAAGGCCTAAGTCTAGACATATACCTAAATGCCTCGACTTCGTCGACTTCTCAAGAAACATTTTTTCCTAAATGAATCTCAGTAAACTGTCTAAAGTTTCTGTTTTTTGTCATTTCTGGTGTCTTTGTTGATCCCAATTGGTTATCTTTTTTTTATTTATTTTGATTGCGCCTTGTATCCCTTGGCAAAAGGCGCAGTACAAGTTCCTGTATTATTAACTAGGCCAGACCTAGCCTCAGAGACAGGTATATAAGTTTCAAATTACGATTACGAGCAAATCGCATACAGGTAACATACGACAACGATAACGAATATGTCATCAATTTTTGAGTTGTTGGACCGATTTTATTGCCATAGCCTATTCATGACGAGTGTGCATATATGTTTCCGAGGATCATCAATCGTAAGTGTTTATTGTGTTCGTTTATTTTTTATTGTTTGAATCGGGTAGAGTTCAACAAAATATTGTGGCTGACCACTTTAACCTACAAACATATCGCTCGTGTAAGGCTTGAAGTGGTTTTAAGTATGCTACATATTGTAAGTATAATTTATATTCCATGATTTTTTCATTTCATTATGATACAATTATGACACATTAGAAGTCATCAGCGGCAAATGTAAACTCATTTTAATCAAAAAGTATTGAATTATATACTTAAATCGACTTTCCAAAGGCAACTTTCCAATACAGCGTGACGTCATGCCATTGGTGCGTATCTACGCAGATTTTCTTTCAGTTCCTTCAGCTGTTCTGCTCGCAATAAACAGCTTAGATTTATACTTCTATGCGATTTACTCGCCGCGTATTGATTGTAAGCGATCAGATTGGTTCTCAGTTGGGACATTGGTGAATGTACCAGAACTAGCTTCTGTTGCACTTCAAATCCAGTAATAATCTATCTATCCAGTGAACCGACGAGAACTGGTTCGACCAACATACGACTCAAATTACGTCACATGACATTATTTCTACTACTATTTCTACTTATTTGTATATCTTCTTCTCCTTATTTATATATAATGTCTACTATCTGTCTCTTATACACATCTAGATGTGTATAAGAGACAGGTGTTAAATATACAGTAGAACGATTGTCTTTATGATATATCAAATACAGCCCTTAAATAAAAAGTTTCTGATTTATTAAATAAAATAGTTAATGTACCTCCTTGTTATAAATATGATAAAAAAAAATAATATGAATTAAAAGGCATGTTTACACAACCAGGATTCGAACCCGAATCATCTGCCATTTATGCAGATGCCTTAACAAATTGGGCTGCTGAGGCTTGCTGGGAATTCTAATCCGATTGAAGACAATAAAATTTCACACTCTTGTGTACACTGTCTCTTATACACATCTAGATGTGTATAAGAGACAGGTATAGCGTCTTAATCGCGGTGTGCATGTTAAAGGTTGGAAAATGAGTGTATAGAATAAATTTGGAATATAAGTGTTGGTGCTGCAAAATAAAATGACCAGTTGGAAGTTGTGCGGGGAACTAGAGCAACACATTATCGGGTGACCTGAGGGTGCATCCAAAAACAAAAATGCGGCAGTATAAAGACACACTCTTTTCCGATATTACATATAATATCAGTAGAAATTGATTGATTTATTATTATTATTATTATTATTTATTTTATTTTATTTTTAAAAGCTTTTTTGTCACATTGAATTTTTACTTGCATAATTCTTTGCATTTAATTTAGTTATAATGTATATTATGTTTACAATAGAATTATGTTTATAAACCGAGGCCATTTTAAAACTAATTTATATCGTTTTATTTTTTAATTATTATTAGTCTATGCCTTTTTTAAAACTAAATATACTATTACTGTACTTCATATGAGGGACAGCTGACTCCAACTGAGTTACTGTAACCTGTGAATATGTATTTGTTGTATTGTATGTTGAGGTCAAATAAATAAATAAAAATGAAACGGAAAGGCCTATGTACAGTTATGAAGAGTGAATCGTACTCTTGGGTGTCGTGTAACAACTTTATACCAGTCGAGGCCCAGTGCAGGAAAGGGTTAGCTGTTGTCTGCAGTGGCTAGTTCTCTAGGCCTAGTATGAATGCTATTAATATTTAGAAGTCTATGCCAAACACATTTGCATTTTAAAATGTTAATGAAAATGCATAGGCCTATATTAAAAAATGCATTTGGCTTATTCAGGAGTAGACCTAGACGTTGTTTGAATCTCCACACCCAGCAGGGGGAACGGCAACTTGTAAGATTCACACCAGCGGTAGGACCACCAGGTACAACTACTCGATTTCAACGAAGTGGATCTCACGGCGGTGGTAGCCGACAAACTGTCCGGGGACTTGGGTCAACTGCGTCGGACTCTCTCTACCAGTCGACGTTTGATAAAGCCCTTGACAACGCAAGCGAATTCTGGGCAGAACAGGCAGAACAAATTGTATGGTTTAAACGATGGGACAAGGTCTTAGATGATAGTGATTTACTGTTCCCTAAATGGTGAGTGAGGACGTTAAGTGCCCTGGTAGTACTTCGGACGTATCTCTTACTATAATAGACCTCCTCTGCTGGATCCACTATTGTTAATATTCATGTTTATAAATAGTAGTGAGGTCTACACCCAGTGTCTAGGAGTTTTGAAGTGGGGAAGGGGATCATTGGGGAGGTGGGTGAAAGTGAAGTGGGGAAGCTTGATGATCAGGTGAGGGGACACAAGCTCGGAAAATAAGGTGATCTGAAGCGATCTTTACCTATAAGACATTTTTTTTTTGCTTCATATATTTTCAATGTAGGAGCTTATTTGTGGGAGCGTACATCTGGGAGGAAAAAAATATATATATATTTTACACAGTTGACACTGACATTGATGAGAGAAGCCTTTGAAACCCCTAAATTGTCATAGTTTCCAGGGGTTTTGTCCACCGGAACACTTTCGGGGGATTTTGAACAACGCCCAAACACGCCCAGTTGCGGTGTTGTCGGGACATTTGGCCCACCATTAGGCAAAACCTGGTGTCATCTGCCTACTTGTTTTCAATTTATTTATAATTTTTTTTAATATATATAATTAAGTTAGTTATTTATCTTGATTAGGCCTACATACAAATTTGCATATCATTTATTTACAGGTTTGTTGGAGGAGAATTAAATACCTGTTATAATGCTGTTGATCACCATGTCATTGAAGGCAACGGAGATTGTGTTGCACTCATTCACGATAGTCCTGTCACTAACTCACAGGAGAAAGTAACGTTTAGCCAATTGCAAGAACAGGTTCGTTCTATTTCTTTTATAAACAAATAATCGTGATGAACATTTTTCAAAATCATTTTTAAAAATATTTAAAAAAAAAAAAAAAATGGTGAGCAGACCAAATGGAGATTTAATTGTTATAAATAGTCAAAATTATTTCAAAATATTTCATAGGTACCATATCAAGGACATATACCTGCATGAACATTCTAATTTTTTACAGACTGCAAAGTTAGCTCGTGTACTGATTGATAATGGTGTCCAGAAAGGAGACCGGGTGGTAATCTATATGCCTATGATACCAGAGGCCGTGGTAGCAATGCTTGCCACGGCTAGGGTTGGAGCCATTCATTCGCTAGTATTTGGTGGTTTTGCGTCCAAAGAACTGGCTGTTAGATTTGATCACGCTAAGGTTAGTTCACAATGGATCATCTTTGAGTCTTGTCAATATACATCAAGCTAGCTGTGCAAAACCTCTCATTGTAAGGGCCTTTATGGTGTATGCATGAGCTTATCATTATTTCTTTCAAAATCCAGTCACTGGATTTATCTTTATCCTTAACCTGGGTAAAATTAAGTCAAAGGATTTTTGAATATTGTTCAAGTGGATAATCTTCAAGTTACTTTAAATTGAGCAAGTTGTTTCAAAATTAATTTTTATTATTTTTTGGCCATTTGGCCAATACTTTCCCTTTGTTAATGATAATGACAAGCAAGCGATGAGGGCACTTGAATAGATGCTTGGGTTCTAATCTAAGAGACAAGAAGAAGAATACAACAACGCTGGTAAAGTAGCTAAATATGCTACTTGCTGTTTTATCACTTTTATGATGTGGTGATTAACAAAATATTTCATTTTTTTAAAGCCTAAGTTAGTATTATGTGCATCTGTTGGTTTGGAACCAGGACGTATTGTTGATTACAAGAAGATGCTAGATGCAGCAATAGATATGAGTGAGCACAAACCTCATAAATGTGTCATCTACAACAGACCAAATGTAAGTTTGAGCTCTGGGGAAGGTTATATTACTTCCCTCTGCTGTTCTTGGTGGTGGTTCAAATGATGCCCTCTGATTCCATTGATTTGGTTCCTGCTACTTCCACGATATTTCATCTTTATTAAAAACAGTTCTTATAAATCATGAGGCACACACTGGAAATTTTCAAAGCAAATAAATTACACTTAAGTAGTGAAAAAACTCCTCAGCTCACACTACTTTGCCAGCTGGCACCCCTTTGCTTAATCATCAAGCACTCAAACTTCACCTTCATGCCTCCCACCCCTGCCCCATCATCCTTCTATTTAAAGATTCCAAGATATCCAACTGTGCACACTGCTTGGGATCGACATTCCACAACATACCCATTTATACTCTTGCCTTGCACAACGTCGTCTGTTGTTTGTTGGTGGCAGTCTGAAGAGATTGTCATTGAAAACGATCTGACGTGCATGGCCATGTTCTCTTTGATGGCCGAAATTTCAGTTGATGCGACATGTGTTGCATCATATTGATTTGCCTATCCACACACCCTTGCTTAATATAAGATATATTCCCCAGCAACTGAAATTCTCTAGTCCTCAGTATATAATGATACAATTTTTGTTGCATGCTATGTTTTTATAGCAATAGATGTAAAAGATTGCAGCTAGTTAATGTGTCATAGAATTATTGTTACTTTTACTTTTACAGCAAGAAAATCCAATGTTGATTCCTGAAAGGGATTTGAATTGGAATGATGTGGTTCCAGCAGCAAAACCCCATGATTGTGTACCTGTCTCAGCTAACGATCCTCTCTACCTGCTCTACACCTCTGGTACAACAGGTATGCCCAAGGTAAGATTTATAGGTTGTGTCAGTTGAATGAGATCCGCTGCTGAGTATTAACATTTCTTTCACTGTCAGTTTTTTGACTAGAAATTTATTTTTGGTGGTGATGGTAATAACATGAGTTTACTTGCTTTTACTGCTCTAGGCCGTGGTCAGACCAAGTGGAGGACATGCTGTGGCTCTTAAGTGGACAATGAAGAATATTTATGGGTTGAATCCTGGTGAGGTAAACAAGAACAATAAGGGATATAAGGGGATAGATCAATGGCTTTCAATAATTTAAACATTAGAAAATTTGATTTCTTTTTCGCTTACAATACATTTATGGCTGGCCCCATCTTCATAGTTACCAGTTGTCTCGCATTGTGCTGGATGTCTCGAATTTTAAAGCTATTTTGGATGAAACACGCATGTTGCAGAAACATATTCATGATCATTAATTTGCCACGCATTTAGCACAAGTATATGCGTGAGAACGAATTATTACAAATCAGGGGAAATTTAAAATTAGAAGAAATTGGTTTTATTAAAAATATGAAAACGATCATGCAGTAACTTGAGTCATTAGAAGGCTTTTGTTATATCGTTCGAGAATCGTTTCAGCAAGAAAATTTCTCTTTCTCGACCAAAATAACTTAGCGAACCGGCCATGCACTTAATAGAATCTAGGAGGCGTGTGCGGTCTTGCTCGTTCATTGTAACAAATAACCGTTGATTATGTGCCTGAAACCTGGAACCCGCCGGGCTCTGCCCCTGGTCCCCCAGGGGCCCTTATGGCCCCGCCTCCCAGCCAACTGGCATATAGTCACACATTTTAAGGGTTTCAAGTTAGTAACTGTGCATCTTGCATTAAAAAAACCTCATTTAATCCAGACACTCAAAGACTTACAATAAACCGTTTTCTGATTCTAATTTTAAATTGAAAAGTGTATGTGAGTAAGTGTTAGGTCAGTATTTGAATTTTTTTAAACTCATAACGAACAGTACATTGTTCTGTGCTTTGTTTACGGATTAATGCATATTCAATCTAAAATGCTTTTCTTTGTCATAGGTCTGGTGGGCAGCATCTGATTTAGGATGGGTTGTAGGTCATTCCTACATTTGCTACGCTCCTCTTTTGAATGGCAATACCACAGTTGTTTATGAGGGAAAGCCAGTAGGAACACCAGATCCTGGAAGTTTCTTCCGAGTTCTTCAAGATCACAATGTAGCCGCCATGTTTACTTCTCCGACAGCTCTTAGAGCCATCATTAAAGAGGACAGTAAAGGCGCTTATGCCTATAATTACAACTTAGAAAAGTAAGTAATTAATTAAGTAATTTTAGTTTATGTTTTATTAATTTCATTCATTTTAATTCTTTGACCAAAATTATTACAAAAAATCAGTACAAACAATTAAGACAAAAAGTCAGGAAAAGCTAAAGCAACAGAAGTGACTGGCTCAAAGAGTCAGTAATTCTGTGTGTTATATATGAGTCATAAACTAAATATGAAATGTAGGTATACATTGCAGCTTCAAATAATTCAGTGTGTTATATACAAGACATAAACTACATATGACAAGTAGGTATACGATAAAACATAAAATAATTCTGTGTGTTATATACAAGACATAAACTACATATGAAGTGTAGGTATACAATGCAACTTCAAATCCTGATTACAGTGTCATTAAAATGTATGTTCAAATTTAAAAATTGTTATTGCGATATAAAGTGAATATATTCAGTAATAAAATACTTTATATATTAAATTAAATTATTGCCTAAATTTAAAGGTTAAAAAGTACTGTACATTTAATAATAATAATATAATAATAATAATATTAATAATAATAATAACAATAATCAGACATTTAACCATATAATAAGTATAATAAGTCAATAGTGACGTCATCGCTGCCAATGTTATTTGCCTATTCCCCACCTTCCACTAATTTTTCAATTAGTGGATGCTTGGCTTGATGATTTTTTTTAGGTTCGTGTGCAAAAAAAAAAAACCTAATTTTTTTGTCACCGCGAAGATATCGCGCACCGCGATAAAAATTGAATTGTTATTGAAAATTGCTTTCCTAAAACAAGGTTAATTAGAACCTGAAGAAAGTTACTTTAAATTTAAGATTAAGTATGAACAATTAAACAATTCCTTGAATCAATGAACCTTAATAAACTAAACAAATGGAACATTTAATAGGAATATTCTAGACCTATTTTAAAGACTCAAGGAACGAAATTAGACGTAGGCCTACGGCCAGGCAGCAGGCCGCCGAGGCCTCCTCCTCCTACTACACTATCACTAGCCTAGGGCCGTATAGCCTAGCATAGTTATGAAATTATCCCAAGATTTTTACCTGTCTGCACCGACGAAAAAGTTATTGACAGTGATTGTATTCTTTCTCGAATGCTTTGAAAAATGTTTATTTCTTTGACGAATGTGAAAAATTATGAAACAAGTTCTAACACAATACAAAGTACAAAATAGCTTAGTTATTCTATTTATATTACAGTACTGCTGATGTGTACTTAATGCGTAGGCCTACTGCAGCAAGCTAGCACAAATCAGCATACACACAAAATATAAATACGCACACAGTATATCATATCACTATGCAACCGATGACTATAATAATAATAATAAAAACTTTATTTAACTACGGAAACACTTGTTCACT